ACTCCTTAAAGGGAGTGAAAGGCGGGATATCAAATCCAAACTCCTCCTCCTCTTCTAAATATATTTAGCCAGAGGTCGTCAAAAGTTAAGAGGTTGAATATAACATTCTCCTTTTCTTTCTAGCATTGTTTGCTATTGGCACGTGTGGCGCCTTCTGCTTCATTTTAATCCAGCTGGTACTGCTTGTTGATTTTGCGCACTCCTGGAATGAATCCTGGGTTGAACGAATGGAAGAAGGAAACTCCAAATGCTGGTATGCTGGTAAGTGCCGTTTAACTAGTGAGTAGCAAAAATCAGCAAGAGGCAAGAAGTTTAGTATGAAACTCTGCGTTTATTGGCCAGCCTGTCAGCATTGTTGATAAAACAAGTTCGTGCCTAGTGAAAAACATGGGATCCACCAACATCTGCTAAACATTGTTGCTTAAATGCTATCACTGTAGCAAGGTGTGTATTGGGTGTTGCATAAGAAGTTGTGACATTCGGAATGAAGGATATGTCATTTAAATCTTAACTTTGCCAACGTCTTGCCTGCCTCTGAGCAAACCAGGTAGTTGCTCTTCTTTCATTATGGAGAAAATACGTGAGATGTTGGTGTGATTGTATAGCACTTTTGAATATTAAATGTGTTTATTAGTAAAAAGTTGCGAAGGCAGCCATATAATATAAGAAAATGCTTTATAACTAATTTATTATGCAAGCCCTGCGGAATGTCAGTATTTCCTATGGATGAGAGGGATAATGTTTTCCTATTTGAAACAGTCTTAATAGGTGTTCTGATAATCTTTTGAAAAACTGCATTGTAATTTAACAATTGAACGTTGAAATGTGCTTTTTCTTTAGCTCTGTTGGCATGTACTGGCCTTTTCTACACCCTGTCCTTTATTGCCGTTGTGCTCTTCTATGTCTTCTACACAAAACCTGATGCCTGTACTGAGAACAAGTTTTTCATCAGTTTTAATATGCTTGTCTGCATTGCTGTGTCAATCACATCAGTCCTTCCAAAAGTCCAGGTATGATAAATTATGCATTGGGATTATTGTGTGGGATATAGCTTAGGCTGACCTAATGTTTAGCTGACTGCATTGAGACGCAATATGACAGCAGACATTTTATGCGAGGGCTGGGGAACACAACTAGCAAGATTGTATAGTCATTTATAGAAGAGTTGCTTGCAAGAAACAGATTTGGATATTGAAAGAAGAGTCTGGAGGCTGTATTAAAATACATGAAATAATATATGTGGGTAGGGGTGGAATGAGAAAAGCATCAGTTCCCCAAGTAGTTCTTGTGCCTCTACTTATGCTTCATATTCCCCTCTGTACAGAAGCCTTAAGTTGTAGTGAAAGTGAAATCTTTCCAGTCAAGGCTAACCAACATGGAGTTAAACAAAAAAGCAATCTACATGGTTCAGGTACAGTTCAGTTATATAAAATTTGCTTGTCTCAAACAGGAACACCAGCCTCGTTCTGGCCTTCTTCAGTCTTCTATCATTACTCTCTACACGATGTACCTCACTTGGTCAGCCATGTCCAATGAGCCTGGTAAGCTTTCATAAGTGCAGATAATTGTTCCTTCAAAACAATAATGGTAGTGGAGACAGTTGCGAAGGAATAAAAATATACTGAATCTTTGAGTGTATTAGGAATTGGAACCCTGCAGGCTTCTAAGAGATGCACAGTTTGGTTAAGTATGAAGGCAACAAATAATCTCTTGTCCGGCTACTTCACATCTGGAAATCATATATACTTTGTGAGTTCATGATGGGCGAAGAATTAGATCGAATTCCAAGTTTTTTGTAGAGCATTTTCACTATGACAGGCAAAGAGATTCTGGGTTTATTACTAGGCTATAAACTCTCCTGAGAGTGAGCACTATTTTATAAATCTGTGGAATTTATTTTCCAGAACGCATCTGTAACCCAAGTCTTCTGAACATCATCAGCCAGATAGCTGCTCCTACTTCCATCCCAGCAAATGTAACTGCTATTGTACCTGTTGTTCCTACACCTGGACCACAAAAGCTGCAGTGGTGGGATGCACAGAGCGTTGTTGGACTTACAGTCTTCGTACTTTGTCTCTTGTATTCCAGGTAACATTTGATCTCTGTAGTTTCAAAACTTCAGGCAAATTCTTGAGAATCGCATCGTAGGTTTAGGCGTAATGAACAGGTAGCTGCTGTGTTTTGAATCAAGGGAAACATTAACTGAACATACAGTTAGGTGCATTTCATCAGACTGTTGGAGCAGTAGGGCATCTTAAGCCATTAATAAAGTATTTAAGCTAGACTTCAACTGTAATGGAATTCCATGAATTTTTATCTCTTCCCAGCATGGCTGGTGGTCAAGAAAGTTGGGAGTTGTAGTCCATCCATTTCTAAAGGGCCATAGTTTTCCCACCCCTTCTAAGGATTTTTAATGTATTTTTGACACTCATAATTCATTCCTCCTCCCAGAGTTGAAAGCAGATTATATGGTTTCCAGTGGTCTCGTTTCCAAGCAGCTTAGGTAGCCAGGTCTACTTAGCATCTGTGGTAGAATTGAATTACATACTTATAGACTCAGGTGTTCTTGGGCACTTTGAATAAGGCTAAACAATTTTCTGGTAGATTTCAATTTTCTTATTCAATCTGAAACATTTAACACCCTCTTCCTTGAACTGTTTTGCAGTATTCGATCTTCCAACAACAGTCAAGTGAACAAACTGACTCTGTCGACAAGTGACAGTGTCATTTTGGATGATACTACCGGAACTGGTAGTGATGTAGAAGATGGAGAAATTCGCCGGGTCCCGGATAATGAAAAGGATGGTGTCCAGTACAGTTATGCCTTCTTCCACTTCATGCTGTTCCTTGCCTCCTTGTATATCATGATGACTCTTACTAATTGGTACAGGTAAGAATAGCCTAGTGGAGACTTAATCAGATAGTATAATTTTGTTGCTGACAAGTACAGTGAGCTTATCTTAATCATCTCAAATATTAACTACTATTTTTAAATTTACTTTTTTAAAAAATGGGAACCTAGGAATCTGCCTTATACCAAGTTGGACATTAGTCCATGTTGCTCAGTATTGTGCACACTGACTGGTAGCATCTTGCCAGGCTTTCAGATTCTTTCCCAGCCTTGCCTAGAGATGCAAGGAAAACTATCTAATCTTCCACAATTACTGAATAATAGTATTCTTTGACTGCTTTAATGCCGAGAGCTTTACATGCATTCTCTGTAATCTTGCGACAGCTTTATAATGAAAGTCAGTTACTTCCATGTGTGTGTGGCTTACCTAAAGCCACCCTGTGAGTAAAGCCAGAAGCTTCCAGCTCATAATGTGTGCTTTAATATGTTGCTTCTAGTTGTGTATCAAAATTGTAGGACTTGCACCTCTATAAAGTAGGATAGGTACTTGGTGTATCTGAGCCCTTTTTAAGTATCTAATGAAGTGTATTAGTAGTCTCGTTTCCCAGCCTTGCTGATTGTTGGAACTAAAAGAATTATCACTGTCTCTAGAATTCCTCACTGTACAATAGATATGCGCATAGCCAAATTAAATTTGAAATAAAGGTAGTGGCATAGTACCTGCTTCAGTCTGTATATGTCATACAGCTGAATCTCTTTTTGTTTTTCCTGTTAAGCCACTGTAATATTCCAGCTCTGACTATTAACTCATTAAGCTAGATAGTTCTCTGCATGACATCTTGTCAACTGCTAGCCCGCTCGGGCACCGACAGGAAGAAACAGTTGCTTTCATGGGACTTACTTCTGAGTAAACACGGTTACAGTGCTCCTGTTAGTCACCCTAACCCCTAGTTTCTTGCATGAATAAATTAGGCTTTAAGTTATGGCTTAATTCATTTTTACCATTTATTCATTCCACAGCCCTGACGCCGAATTCAAAACTCTGACAAGCAAGTGGCCAGCTGTCTGGGTGAAGATCTCCTCCAGCTGGGTTTGTCTCCTCCTCTATCTCTGGACCTTAGTGGCACCTCTTGTCCTTCCTAATCGGGACTTCAATTAAACGATAATTTCTCTGAAAGCATAGAAACATGAAGTTCCTCTCTGCTGAAAGCCAAATGGTCTGTATCGCTTCTTGGAGCCAAAGCTCCAGCCATCTCTCCTGCAACATATACAGATGAATAGAAAGCTGCTAACTTGTATTATGCTTGATGCAAAAATCTAAGCTCTGTACATTTTGATATGTTTAAATGAAAGCTAGCTTTACCATTAGTCTACTACAGCTGTGCTGTTTGATACCGTAAAAAAGCCAGTAGTGTAAACAACCGAGTTGAAAGAAAAATTGCTTGAGCTTAAAGTAATATATTTTAAAGTTATTCTAATGCTTCAGTATATGGAAGTGAAAGCCATACTGCAGGTGTACATTCCACTTCAAGAAAACATGCTTAATGGCGTTTTAACATACAGAATCTGTTTTTCTCAATGGAGCAGCATGCTATGTAGTATGGGAAGTTCAAATCAGCAATTTTTGGATCACTGTAGAAGACCAATTTTATAGAAAAGTTCTACTGAACTTTAGTATTTGTCAGTTAATTCCAAATGAAGTATCTACTATGCTTTAATTAAATTATATTAAAATAATTTGAAGTGCTTTTTTGTCTAATATTTGCAATGTGAGTAAAAGCCAGTGCATCGTTTTGTCAATCTTGGCATTTGCACTATAAACATGTTTGATTAAAATTACCTGTTCAGTGTCTCTTTATATTGGGCAGAGGTATGAAAAATCCTGTATATCTTTTCAAACCACAGTTCAGAGAAATCAATTCATGTCTGGAAATTGGGATAATGAGCACCACAGAATGGAAGATCAGTTGTTCTCTCCCTGAGCTGCTTTTTAAAAAAATAATCCAATTCCACCCCCCCCCCTTCACATACCTTGATGGCTTCAGAAGGCAGTCAAATCCCATTGTGTTAATTGTATTTACTGATACACTTGGAATTTAAAATGGACTTAACAAGGAAGCAAATATTGTCTTGAAATAATGAGGCTGTCTTAAGGTAGATGGTTTAATATCCACTCATGCATAAAGTTACAATTAAACTATTCCTTTTATAAAATGCAATATAAAAATAAATTCTCACAGGTGTATACTGTAACCAAACACCTGACTTCTACATACAGCAAAAGGCAAAACCAATACTGAAACAATTTACTTAGCAAAATGCCAAAACTGACTGATGGAATAGTAGAAATAAAGCACCTCAACTACTATTCTGGAAAAAACATCAAAAATTATAATAGTGCCTGTCAAGCCCACTGTATAAATTCAAGTATCTTTCATTTTCTGTTAGACTTAAAGGCAATTTGACAGTTGTGGTAGGTCACCAATGTCTCTTTCTTAAGGCCTGGTACTGTTTCAATACGACCAAATAATTTCTTAAATAAAGGTTGAGGGTACATTAGATATATTAGCTGCTAATATCTCTACTTGAAAAATTAGTGCATTAGTATAAACATAATACCTGAACTTAACTTCTGTAACACTATGCTAGCTGTTTAATTTGCCCCAAACTTAGAGGGACAGTTTAAATTAAAAGATGAGTTTAGATCTTTTTCTGCACAATAATGAACTTCATCATTCAGTATCACGTGTTTTCACACTTCTTACATGCACAGGAGCTACCTGTGACTGCCAGAAGAAAGATTTACACCTAGTATATCCATTTCAGAACACTTGTAAAAAGCTTTGCGTAATAATAATAAAACCTGTTTCAAATGCCTATGATGGCCTTTTTTGATAACATACCACATAGTATAATCAATGGGGCCTCTAGTTCAAGCACACAAAATTGCTTCACCTTTTGGCAATACAGAGGCAGATGGTTATGCTTTTTTTTTTTTTAATGTGAGGGGAAATACAAGTTTGGCACTGACAATACAAAAAGTCCACCAGCTGAAAACCTTATCTCATATTTACAATAAGCACCAGTTTCTGGTCTGTAGTTGGCACTAGGTAAAAGCCTCCGCAAATAGCTCCAACCATCTAGTTGAAAGTGCTAATAGATGAGGTGGTAATAAGTGTTGACCTGCCTCCCTCTAAACATGAAACAGCAGTCAATTCAATCTCCACAAAGGTTTCAGGCTGAAGTGCTGGATGTCACAAATATCTAGGTTAATCTACAACTCAAGACTATGAAAGAAGAGGAAGTTGCGTACATAACTCCAAGACCAAACACACATGAGATAAGCCACGAATAAAAGGAAGACATAAAGCACTAATGCACATTAACAAGGACAACCATGAAGGACGGACAGAAAGTGACCTTTGTAAAAGGAAGCCAATTTAGCACTGAGGTCCAACTGATAACATCCCCCCCTCCACACACACACTGAACGGAAAATAGTTACATTTACAAAACAGAAATTGTGCTTGTAAAATACCCTGTCCATTTGGTTTACAGAGACTCGGAAATAAACACGTCTAAACACGCATCCTTGCTTTGCTGGACAGACATCTACAACTATGACAGTTTCTGTATTACACCCCCCCCCAAGACCTATGGTAATAGAATTCTATAACTAAGGCGGGGTATTAACTGGCAGCTAAGCTAATAAGCAGAATTACCTGTCCCTTTCAGTTGGTCCTGGTACAAATTCAAGTATGGGCATAAAAACGGTGTACAGATTCTTTAATGCTTTCTATTAGGCAGAGTGAACATGTGCTTTCATTGATTTCAGTGGTTTTAAGGATACCCACTGCATTTGCAAACCCTGTCTGCAAGATTCAAGTCTAAGGTTTGCATCTCAGTGGCAACACACCCCCTACAAGAGAAGAGAATATGCTTATATGTGGAAATAACTGAATAACGATAGCGATCATCAGAGCATGTCAAACCAAAGTGTATCAGAATGGCAGCCCGGCATTTACTCCTAGAAACTAGCCTGCCGTAAAACAGCTACCATTATATCACACAACCAATATTATTTCTTCTCTAGGGAAAGTCAGTACTGTATAATGCATTATGACACTTCCGCTTTGTCAAAACTGTTGGCCATTTTAGCTCTTTTCAGCCTGAGAAAGTCTAGCACTTTGACCCTAAACTTGCCCATTTGGAAGCAGGTCTCATTAATTTCAGAGCAACTTGCTTCCAAATAATTGTGCTTAAAACCTTGGCGTTAGCAACGTTCCTTAAGTCACATAAGTGTAATCTTAGGAGATGCTGCTGTTTGCAAAGGGTCAAGAAACCACGTTTACGGTGCCTCAAAACTGCACCCTTCTCCTGGATTGCGGTAGAACTTCACCTTGCTCCATGGCTTCCCCTTTTTAATTTGCTTTGGTTCCAATGTAAAGTGCCTCCCTCAGCTGTCTCTACGCCTACGCTACAGTCTACCTAAGAACAAGGCAGAGTTCGTAATCCCTTTGTAAACAGGAAGGTGACCTTTTGGAAGCTTTAACTGCTATGTTAATAGCAGGAATAGAGTTGCGTTTTCAAGCTTCGCAAAGAGTCATCACATTGCTTCTCATCAATCTCCCCAGTCAATAATGGGTCGAGAGGAGAAGAGTCAGTGGAGGGAGCCAGAAGAGAAGCATCATACAGGAAGTCATCTTCTGAGGCCAACAGCAGCTCATTCCAGGCAGAGATATCCAGTTTCCCTGCAGTGCCCCCATATTCTTCAGGTAGGATCCATGGTGGAAGGTTGTGGTGAAGAGAGCTCAAGTCTGACCCATGAAGAAAAAACTGAAAAAGAAAAACCCAGAAGTTTCAACAACACTGATACAGTATTCTTGAAATAATAATGTAACACTCTGATACAGCATTCTTGAAATAATAATGTGATACCTCAATTTCAATAAATTCAGAGTATAATTCACATTGTGTATCCAAACAACTGTGGCAACAAGAGACTAGGCTGATCCTAATATTAAATTGTGACCCACCCTGGGGCCTGCTGGTGAATGGCAGGAAACAAATTTACCACATTGAGCTCCCGTTGTTTGGTCCCTGTTCCTGCCCACCTAGCAGTTCGAAAGCCCGTCAAAGTGCAAGTAGATAAATAGGTACTGCTCCGGTGAGAAGGTAAATTTTGTTTCCGTGCGCTGCTCTGTTTTGCCAGAAGTAGCTTAGTCATGCTGGCCACATGACCTGGAAGCTGTCTGTGGATAAACGCCGGTTCCCTCAGCCTATAGAGCAAGATGAGCACGTAACCCCAGAGTCGTCCACGACTGGACCTAACAGTCAGGGGTACCTTTACCTTTACCCACCTGCTTGCAACAGCCACTACTCTTCTGCCATTGTAAGCTGTGCAAGGTTGGGAGAAGATAAGAGGAGGCCCCTTCCAGCTATGCCAAGTAGAATTTCATTGGTCACAATTACACTACAAATACATGCAACTTGCTAGTCTGACCTCTATGAATGAACAACAGCCTGTCTGCAATATTAGCTACTTTTGTTGTGTCTTTTGGACTGTAAGCCTTTGGGGCAAGGGTTGTCTTGTGTTTACTGATGTTATGTAAGCTGCTCTGGCAGCATTTTCAGCTGAAAAGCAAGATTAAAATGCTTTAAATGAATGAATAAATAAATAAATAAAAATAGCCACTTACCCGATTTGCTATTTTCTCTTTCAGAAAGGGTTTGATGATGGCAAAAATGCCCTTGAATATTCGAGGTTCATTTATAATATTGACAGCTTTTATTCTAATAGGAAAGCCATCCTAAAAAAACCAAAAAAACCCAACAATACCAGTCAGATTTATAAATAAATACTGGTTACTTTATGAATAGCTTTTACCAGTTTTCAAAAACACACATTTAATTTACTGATGTATGAACTCACAATGGAACAAAAATAGCTCCTTACAAAAGATCTGTAGGCAGCATGCACATTTGTGAAGATTCAATTGTTTTATTTTTATATATATTTGTGAAGATTAAAGCACAGATGTGTGCTGTTCATTCTTCCTTGAGAGGACACCACAAGGTAACACTTTAAAGTACACACACATCTTATCCAAGGTGAAATATAATATTTTAAGAGAAGATACCGATTACCCGAACCTTCATAAGGATCTCTTATAATTAAAATCCAGGTTTCTTTCAATTGAAAATGAAGACTGTTTCAAAGATAAAACTATGCTCACAAAGATATTCCACTCTTTTGTTGAAACCCACCCAATTCCAAAAGCAGCTGTGTCAAGTGAAATGGCTTTTAATATTTGTTGGTTATATAATTATTTTTTCCGTTTATAGATTCAGATCTTACCTGAAGAATTCCAATCACTTTTTTGCCTATAAAGGGACCAAAATGAGATGCCTTAGATAGGCTGACTCCTTTGTAGTCTGCAAGGATAACAATTCCATTCACCTGGGTCTCTTCAGACTGAATGAGCTTTTCTAATGTTAAGTATATGGCACGAATATTTTCAGTAATTGGGTAGTTACTTGGGATCCATCTGTCTACGGTTATAATACAGAGATGATAAGTTGCAAAGCTGAATAAACCAACAGTACATTTTATTATTTATATCACTTATTTATTTCATAAAATTTATACACGGTTAGTGTGTAAAAAACAAAAAAAACCTCAAAACAGTTTACAAAAAGATAAAACAATAAAATCAAGAACAATTCACAACCATAATTTAAAACCCACAAAAGTTAAAATACTTAAACAGATTAAAATTATTTCAACTGGCTAGGTTTATCTAAACAACAATGTTTTTTGCAGGCACCCAAAAGAGCACAGTGAAGGCACCTGTTTGATCCCAACAGGCAGGGAGTTCTAAAATTGCTTGCCTGGTTTTTTCTCTCTGGGCTGTCACCATGCATGGTGTTGGCCAAAGTTCAGGACAAGATGACTGGAGGTTTAAACTACTAAGAGGCCAAATTGTCAGCCTCGATCCATAAAACTGTCATCACCACATCTTTTCTCCTACGTCAATGAATTGGACCCAAAACATAACATCAGTAGATTAACCATTCGGGGACAAATAAATCCCAATTACTTTCTTCAGCAGTACACTGTCCAAACCATTCCATTAGAGATCAAAAATATCATACTCCTTTATGGTCTGTTTAAGGCAGGCCTACTCAAAATCGAGTTTCTTTCAAAGATATGTCTACACCAGTGTTTTAGCTCACAACTGTAATTTGAAATATTTTTGGTGATTTCCTCAATGATAATATATGCCTGAAAATACTGTAGGTATGTACTGAGGATGTTTGTTTTTGTTAGCTCATATATTATGTTACAACATACCATATTAGCATTGAAAACATATTCTGTCTCCTATGTACAATTCAGATTTAAGTAACAATTTAAAGTGCTACTTTAAAAGACTGGTGTAACAAGAAGAAAAAGTAAATATTTATGGAATGCCAGGAAGGAACAAAAGGAAATGTAGGATTTTAGTCCTCTAGAAATTATATAAGTACAACAAACAACAACAACAACATCCCATCTCCTCATACAGAAATTAGAGATAAAAAAATGTGTTCTGAAAACTGAACTCCCTGAAGTACGTGAATTAATGATACAGTTCTCAAGTCATTAACAGCATTTTACTGGGCGATGCAGTACTATTAGTAATAGGGGAAAGAAAGCATCAGCATCAAATGAAATATTTGTATCTTTTTTAAAAATAGATTTTGGTAGCAAGACACAAGAAGCAATCCTAAACAGTTAACCAAAGGGGGAGAAGAAGTATTAAAAAAAATACCTGGGCGAATGCAAACAACATGGCGTCCTTCAGTATCTAAGTGAGAAAGCACAGTGACAAAACCAGACTCTAAGGCAGGCTTTATAGCAGACGGTTTCAGGTTAGTAAAAACTTCAGGCCAACTCCTCCTACAGCAGTGATAGTTCACAAGAAGCTGAAGTGCCCGATCATAATCAAACTTCCGGGCTCTAAGGAACCTGAGCAAGAAAGCGTCGTCTAAACATGTTCCCAGGTTAGGATAGTCTTTGCACACCATGTCTCTGAGGGCTTGAACATCTCGAAGCCGCCACTCAGGTTTTTCCTGCAGCTCTTCACGTGCCTTGGCGACAAGCTCAGCGGACAATGAGCACACATACTTTGGCTGATCGGGCAGGACCTCAATCTCTGACAGAGATCCCACAGAGGGACTTGGAATGGTGCCATCACCATTTCCTGACATTGGTTAGTGGGAAAATCTGCAAGGAAGATAAAAAACAACAACACAATACTATGAACAAACAGCATCTAGGAAAATTGGTCAGAAGCATCTACCTAGTCTTCCATGTAAGTCTTAAGAATTCCAAAACAAAACACCTATTTATTGGTTCTATTTGGGCTTAAAAATCACTCTGAAATATTCTTTAGTCAGCTCTGATTCAGAGAAATGTTTGTACAGGAATAGCTCCACCTACCCCAGTATAACTGCACATTGCTTATGACAAGATACTGTTAGATATCACCTACCACTTAAATTTGCATATAAGATTTCATTTCAACTTCAAGGGGAAGGGTGCTTTTCCACTAAGAGCTGCAATATTCTGAAAGTGATGCAGAACTCAATTTGCAGGAATGGTAAGCCAAACTATCACTTAATGCAAACACTTGAGCGTGTGAACTCTTGGAGAGGAGATTGTGGCCTCGAGTCTTTTAGTGCTGAGGGTTAAGCGTGTTATAGGAACCTAAGCTCATAGTTTGTCTCATTCAGACAAAGGATGAGCTGTAATCTTGTTCTTGGTTTACAATTCGTAAGAACACAAGAAGAGCCTGCTGGATGAGGCCATCTACTCCTGTTTTCACAGTAACCGACCAGATGCCTATGGGAAACCCACAAGAAAGAGCTGAGCACAGCACAACAGCATTCTTCTCAAGGTTCATCTGGAGCGAGACAAAATATGAGCCTGGGTTCAGACAACACATTAAACCAAACATCCCTGATGCAGGAGAGAAAAGGAAAACATGTGCTATTTAAGAGCAGTATCCAATGGCTACCTATGAGTATCATGCCAAAATTTATGGACAAATCTATTGTTATTGTGCTGGGGACCAAAGCTGTAACTATTCCTTGATAACGTGAAGTGTTAAAACTTGTCAACCTAAGGTTATGAGCTGACAGGGTGGGGGGAAGACAGGTGAGGACAAAGGCAGAATTACAACTCCATGTTACAATAGTCCCTCATAAAAACACAAGACAAGCCCTGCCAGAAGAAACCAAAGGTCCATCAAGTCCATTATCCTGTTTTTCATAGTAGCCAACCAGGCATTTCCCGGAAGCCCACAAGCAAGGGCATGCAGGCAGCAACCCTCCCACACTGAATCCCAGAATCTAGGAGTCAAACAGAACTATGCTTCCGCAGAGCATTTAGATGTCATATCCCTACCATAACTCACAGGCAATGACAGGTGTTTTCCTGCCCATTAATCTGACTAGCCGCGTATATCTAAAGCACTTGCACCTTAAAGAATCTGGGAACTGTAGCTCTCTGAGGGGTAAAAAACTACAGCCCCTGATGTTCTTTTTCTTGGAGTGGGTAGGTGTTGCTGCTTTAGATGCATGGCATATCCACCGCCACTTTCTTTGAAAGCACATCACTCCTCCCAATTTCGTACACATCTGACTAGATCCAGACCAGGGCCGGATTTAGGTTTGATGAGGCCCTAAGCTACTGAAGGTAATGGGGCTCTTTATATGTCCAGCTGTCCTTTGTCAACAACAAATTGTCACTTTTTTATGTTGAATATATGCTATATGGTAATTTATGGACCTAATAGGTTGCTGTATGTAGGTTTTATTTTATTTGTTTTTTATCTTCTATTTTGGAAATGTACATCCAGGTTTTTCCCCCTTTATTTTTTTAGCCCCCCCCCCAAGAGAGTGGGGCCCTAAGCTATAGCTTGTACGTAAATCTGGCACTAGATGTACGGTATGCCCACCGCCACCTTCTCTGAAAGCACATCTCTCCTCGCAATTTCGTACAAAGCAGGCTGGATCCAGGCCATGCCAGCCACAATTCTGACCCCACTGAAAGCAAAATAAAGCGAAGAGCGACTCCCAAGCCCCATATGCATAGCTGTCAACGTTTCCCTTTTTTAAAGGGAAAATCCCTTGTTCCATTTCCCCCCCTCCAAATACTTTTTATTGCTTTTTTGTAACAACAACAAATAAAATAAATACTCTTACATTCAAAAATTTGTATGTCTTCTTATTTACCCTGAGCCTTATTGCGCCCGGACTTCCTTCTATCCCTTCAACGGTTTTCATGTCTCAACTCTTTTCTTACAGTTTCTTATTTACACTCCATCCACATCACAAGATTTACATTAACCCTGCCACAGTTTTTAAATTCTCACAATTACTCCGTATACATTCAACAAATTTACTCCAATCCTTTTTGAACTTTGGTTCCGAATCTTATAAAGTCAATTTCGCCAATTCTATGTATTCAAACATTTTTGCCTGCCACTTCATTAAAGTTGGGATTTCTTGGAAAATCCCTTATTCCGAATAGGATTCCTCGCAAGAAAAGGGAAAAGTTGGCAGCTATGCCCATATGTTTCAATGGAACCCAGGTAATTGGCTGGATCCGGGCTAGTTACTGGTCTTGAATCGCCTGCCAGTTTCGCAGGGCGGCCTTTCTCCGCTCCCACCCGAGGGAAAAAAAACTCTCCCTCCTCACGAGTAACCTTAGGAAGCCTCCAGTTCCCTGGGAAACCGCGCGCGGCTTTTCCCGAAGCGACGTCCAGGAGGCAGCCCAAGTCCTCGGCTGGAGCCCGGCCACCGCCCGCCAGGCCTCCCCGGGCTCCCACCTCAGGAGGGGCAGCAGCAGACGCCGCCACCTCCCTCCCGCCCTCCGGTCTCCCCGTCCCCTCACCGCAGCTCCAGCTCCACTTCAAACTGAAGGGACACTTTCCAGGAAGAAAACCCGCTCGCGACCCGGAAGCACTTGCGTGACATCACAAACCTCGGCCCGCCCTGAGTGAACCTAAGAACGCGCGGGTGGGCGGAGGGTAAACTAGGTGTGTGACTGGGCATGCGCGGAATTCCTGGATGGCGGTGCAGTTGCAGAGTAAAGGGTCGCAGTCTGTTGGTTCGGAGCCGTAATTCCGGTTCCCGATGTATGTCAGGGCTTAGAATCCACCTTGCGCAGGGTCAAAGGACGGGAATCCAAGCTCTAATAAGGTAGAGTTAAAGAAGAGGTAGGGTTTTGTCTTTTTTTAAAAAAAAGATCGCAAGTGCTTTGAAATGACCCTGCTTTCTATCTATCTATCTATTTTATTTTATTTTATTATTTTATTATTTTATTTTATTTTATTTTTTTTAAAAAAAGCAGAAAAGAAACTGGCCAAAGGGCAATTCAGGAAAGACTCCTCCAGGGCACTTTTAGTGTGTTTGCTCGTCTTTGTACTTTGCACCTTTAAAAAGTTAATTTAAGGGCAGGATTAGATCTGTTGTCCGGATTCTGCGGCAGGGCTTTGAAATTCCCTCACCTGCTCTGCCCCAAACATGACCTAAGGCTTTTAATGTAATCATGCAATATGCTTGGACTCAATAGGTGTTAGGCAAAAGGAAGCTTCTCTTGTTAGATTAAGGCTCAGTGCTTGTTTTCATTACCCCTTAAAGCATTCTTCTCCAACCCAGTTGTTTTAGACCACAACTCCAGAACATCTGGCCCATCAGATTGTGGTGCGAAACATCTGGAGTCAGTGGCAGACCTACAATTTTGGGTCCCTGAAGCATGGGTGTAGCCAGGATTTACGGTATGTTGGGGTGGGGGCAGAACCTCAATTAGTTAAGTATTTTTTAAATTTATTTACTTGACCCCCCTGGCAACGCCCATGCCCTGAAGCTTGAACTGTTATGGGGGGGGGGCCTTCGCAACCAGCAACAAGGTTTGAGCAGCCACTGTTATCTTCAATGGGGCTGTCCCATATCATGTCACCACAATTTATTTATTTTTTAAATTAAGTACATTTCAGATTGTATTGGATTATCTCATACTACATGAAGCACGTTTTACAAAATACTCTTTATCTGGTTTTTCCTAGCAACATATTCAAGTACAGTTTCACCATTTGAGAGCGTTCCTGCGATGTCATTTTCTAGAGACAATATACATAAAGGATTTAAGCGCTCTTTAGCAGAACAGCCAACTTACCGTGACATTCCACCTTTGCAACATCTGTGCTACCGACTCTCAAACATCGGGGTTGTTGAATTATATTCAACCAAAAAATAATCAGTTTGATTTTGTTAAGTGATGTGGACAGTGGATTAGGGGCCCTGGAGCTTAAGCTTCCTTAGATAGGGCTGCTGTGCATCTGGAATTTCCCAGACATAGACGGTATTTGGCTGTGTCTGGGCGGAAATTGCAGAAAATGTCTGGGAAAATCCGGACGTGTCGTAAGTGTAGATTTTGTCCTCCACCCCCCAAAAGAAGAAGCAGCTCAACAATTACACACACCCCCCAAATGGGGGAAAAAATCTCAACAACTTTTGTGTCCGGATTTTCACTTTTTGAAATATGGCAATCCTACCTTAGTTTCATACAGTCATACCTCGGGTTGCAAACGTGATCCGTGTGGGAGGCAACCTGCAGCGCTGCATCTGTGCATGCGCGTGATGCAATTCGGCACGTCTGCGCATGCACGTGACGTCATTTTGTGCTTCTGCACATGCGCGAGTGCCGGAACCCAGAAGTAACCCGTTCCGTACTTCCAGATTCGGCGTGGTCCGCAACCCGAAAATGCGCAACCCGCAGCCTTTGCAGGCTGGTAGTAGATTCAGCCCTGCCTGGAGAGCATCATGGGTGGCAACGCCAGCTGTAATCTGTTCCAGTTAGTTCACTTAAAACATTTGGCCAGCAGAGGGTGCCAAATGCACGTCACAAATTGAAGCAGGGCCGCAAATGCGTACAATTCTCATACAGTATACAGTGATACCTCAGGTTAAGTACTTAATTCGTTCCGGAGGTCTGTTCTTAACCTGAAAATGTTCTTAACCTGAAGCACCACTTTAGCTAATGGAGCTTCCTGCTGCCACCACACCGCCAGAGCACAATTTCTGTTCTCATCCTGAAGCAAAGTTCTTAACCTGAAGCACTATTTCTGCGTTAGCGGAGTCTGTAACCTGAAGCATATGTAACCTGAAGCGTATGTAACCCGAGGTACCACTGTAGTCTTACTTCTTCCTTTAGGATGGATTTAAATTCGCTTTTAGGCTCATCCCAAAATACTGAATGACTGACACCATAATGGCAGGCTTAGAAGTAACCCAGAGGCCTGAAGAGCATAACGTAAAAATGCTGTTTAGTAGAGCTGGGCGATCCTCCGTTTCATTGTCTGTATGGCGTTCACATCACGATAACCGGTTTCAGACTTTTTGAGCTGCCGATACATTGCGGCTCCCCAGCTGCTGCCAGCTCAGCCCACTTCCTTCTCCCTGCCTGCCTGCGCTGTGATGGCGGCAGCCAGGGAGCTGCAATATATTGGCAGCTAGATGCATGGAGAACATGCTTCTCAGGCTCTGTGCGCTTGACTGCCGCCTACTTGCCTTCACCTGGGAGGAAAGACTGCATCTTTCCTCCCAGAACGCCCAACCGCCCCAGAAGGAAAGTTGAAGCCTGCCTGCTTAGGCAAAGGCAGACACCTGATGCATTTCCGGCTGAAGGGGCATCAAAACATCCTTGAAACGCTCAGCTGAGGAGAGGGAAGCCTCTCGGCCCCCATCTGAGCGAAGTTCTGGTGCTGTGCTCCCCTGCATTCGCTGTGGCAGCGAATCGTAGAATGGTAGAACGGGAAAGGACCACGAGGGCAATTTAGTCCAACCCCCAACAATGCAGGAATATTTTTTTTTTGCTCAGTGTGGGGTTCGAACCCAGAACCATGAGAATAAGAGCCCTGTGCTCTACCAGCTGAGCTATAGGAGATATTTGATGGGAGGGGAAAAACTGGCGAGATCCAGATTGATTGTTGTGGGAGTACTTTGTGATTTTTAAAAGGAGGACTCTCAGATACACACACAAACATACTTTGCAAGGCATGCTTACAGGAGAGGGTCTTAACTGTGTTTGATGAATGCAGTGGTTATGGAATACAGTGGTACCTCAGGTTACATACGCTTCAGGTTACAGACTCCGCTAACCTAGAGATAGTGCTTCAGGTTAAGAACTTTGCTTCAGGATGAGAACAGAAATTGTGCTCCGGTGGCGCGGCGGCAGCAGGAGGCCCCTTTAGCTAAAGTGGTACCTCGGATTAAGAACAATTTCAGGTTAAGTACGGACCTCTGGAACGAATTAAGGACTTAACCTGAGGTACCACTGTATAGAGGGCAGAAATGCGATTGTGTGTATGTGATGGCAAATATTTTGTGTGTCAGCAGCACTGAGCATTGAGGGAGAGAGAGTCCTTTTTGGGAGTCCTCCTGATGTTCCCCAAAGGAGCAATGTGCATGATGGTCGTGTGCTAATCACACATTGACTTGTGAACCTTCTGAATCAGCAGCCAGCAGCTCTGCTTAGCGTGGTGTGGCAAATGGTGTCCTTGAGGTCTTCTGATGCTGCCCTGGAAACCAGACAGGATCCCAAACGTTTCCAAAACATGGCAGCAGCACTCTGCAGTTTCAGACTCCTTCACTGACCGCAAAAAAGTAATCATAAACACCAGGACAGAACTGAAGCCTGACTCCACAGAAGCGCCACCGCCTCCTCTTATATAAACAGGAGCATTAATGGGGTTTGGCTGAGTTGCTTTGATTAATTTTTGAACTCAGGCAGACGATTTGGACTTTTTCCTTGGGTGAAATTTTATCACCAAGGTCAGCTTTCTTATATATAAAACCCCCCTCAAAATATACTTGTAAATACATTCAAATGATCTTCTGTCTGGTCCCAAAGTAATCACATTTCATTCCATCAGTAAAGACATCCTGTTAAAACATCCATAAAACGTTCAATTACTTTAAACAGATTTGTTTTCTTTTTCCCTGCCACCAAGGTAAATTCAAGCATCTGAACACAATCCAGAAGAAGTTAAGGAGGTTTGGTTCCCATTTAAATCCATGGGGCTTGAAAACCTGGGTGTGCACATTTTAGGAGAGGCAAGCCAGTCGTTGGTGTGTTTAGCATCATAATTTGCACACCTGATACCCACAAATCACATACAGAATGTCCCAATCCCCTTGCCACTTCCCATTTATTGATTATTAACATTAAATCTGCTGTCAGTCCTTTCACCTACAGCTCTCAGGTCAGCTTACAACAATTTAAAATTCAGAATCAAAAAGCATTTAAAACAGATTAGTCACAGAAATGGAGTGGCCCTTTTTATTTATCATGGTTGTTTATTTCATTTATGGATTGCCTGCAATGAGGCACCCCAAAGCGATTTACGATAATAAAAGTGTGCAGGGCACAATTGCGCGTACAAAACCGCTGGGCAATCTCCAATGCACTTGTGCCGCTAGCATGAGGTTTTATACTTGTGCAACAGAACTTCCCCTCACGACTCTCCTCCCCTTGCTCCTGCCCCCAATCTGCTCTGGAGGAGGAGGGAAGCCCAGAACAGATTTATGGGGTGTATCGTATGTGGAGACCAGGGAAAGCTCCTGTGAGCAAGCATGACTTCTTCCACTAACAGAAAGAATAATAGATTAAGAGTCTCGTGCTCTACCAATTGAGCTATTCCAACTGAGCAAGGGTTACCTAGCGCTCCATTGTTTACAACCCAATTAGAATATTTGCATAAATAAGTGTGTGTGTGTGTGTGTGTGTAGTGCATTTACCACCACTACACATATAAAATCA